CCCCAAAATCACCCCAAAATCACTCCAAAATCACCCCAAAATCACCCCAAAATCACCCGAAAATCATCCCAAAATCGCCCCAAAATTGCCCCCAAATCACCCCAAAATCACCCCAAAATCATCCCCAAAATCACCACCAAAATCATCCCAAAATCGCCCCCAAAATCACCTGAAAATCATCCCAAAATCACCCCAAAATCGCCCCCAAAACCACCCCAAAATCACCACCAAAATCATCCCAAAATCGCCCCCAAAATCGCCCCCAAAATCACCCGAAAATCATCCCAAAATCACCCGAAAATCATCCCAAAATCACCACAAAATGACCCCCAAAGTTGCCCCAAAATCACCCAAAAATTGTCCCAAAATCACCCCAAAATCACCCTCAAAATGCCCGGGATTGACCCAAAATGTGCCCAAATTGCCCCAAATTCAACTCGGATTGTCCCAAAATGGTCCCAAATTGTCCCAAAATGGCCCCAAATTGCCCCAGAATGTCCCAAAATGTGCCCAAATTGTCCCAAATTCACTTAAGATTGACCCAAATTGTCCCAATTTGTCCCAAAATGGCCCCAAATTTGCCCCAGAATGTCCCAAAATGTGCCCAAATTGCCCCAAATTCACCACGGATTGGCCCAAATTGTCCCAAAATTGTCCTAAAATTGTCCCAAAATGTCCCAAATTGTCCCAAAATTGTCCCAAAATTGCCCCAAATTGTCCCAAAATTGTCCCAAAATTGTCCCAAAATGTCCCAAAATTGTCCCAAAATGGCCCCACACCTGTCTCACCTGTCCGGCTCACCTGGCAGGTGTCGGCCCGGCTGCGGGGCTCACACCTGTGTCTCACCTGTCCCACCTGTCCATGTCCCACCTGTCCCAGTCTCACCTGTCTCACCTGTCCAATCCCACCTGTCTCTCACCTGTCTCACCTGTCCAATCTCACCTGGCAGGTGTCGGTGTGGCTGCGGGGCTCACACCTGTGTCTCACCTGTCTCACCTGTCCCAGGTGTCTCACCTGTCTCACCTGTCCCAGTCTCACCTGTCCCAGGTGTCTCACCTGTCCAATCTCACCTGTCTCACCTGTATCTCACCTGTCTCACCTGTCCCAGTCTCACCTGTCCCAGGTGTTTCACCTGTCTCACCTGTCCCAGGTGTCTCACCTGTCTCACCTGTCCCAGTCTCACCTGTCCCAGGTGTCTCACCTGTGTCACCTGTCCCAGTCTCACCTGGCAGGTGTTGGTCCAGCTGCGGGGCTCACACCTGTCTCTCACCTGTCCCAGGTGTCTCACCTGTCTCGCCTGTCCCAGTCTCACCTGTCCCAGGTGTCTCACCTGTCCCAGTCTCACCTGTCCCAGGTGTCTCACCTGTCTCACCTGTCCCACTCACCTGGCAGGTGTCGGCCCGGCTCCGGGGCTCCCCGGCGCAGACCATGTTGGGGGTGATGGAGTCGGGGTAGATGCGGCGGCAGGTGAGCTCAGGTACGATGCGCACCTGGCTGCAGCGCAGCTCCTGCGGGAACGTCACTGCGGGGACACGCCCGGTCACACCTGGCCAGGTGAGCCTGGGCAGGTGACCCCTCACCTGTCCGGGGTCACACCTGGGCAGGTGACCCCTCACCTGTCCGGGCTCACCCGGGGTCACACCTGGGCAGGTGACCCCTCACCTGTCCGGGGTCACACCTGGACAGGTGACCCCACACCTGTCTAAGGTCACCTGGGGTCACATCTGGGGTCACCTGGGGTCACACCTGGGCAGGTAACCCCCCACACCTGTCTGGTGTCACGCCTGGGGTCACACCTGGGCAGGTAACCCCCCACACCTGTCTGGTGTCACGCCTGGGGTCACACCTGGGCAGGTAACCCCCACACCTGTCTGGGGTCACACCTGAGGTCACACATGGCCAGGTAATGCCTGATGTCTCACCTGTGCCCAGGTGACCCCCACAGGTAACCCCAAAATCCCGCCTCACCTGTGCCCAGGTAACCCAGTCACCTTAGGGGTTCCCAGGTGTGCCCACACCCCTCACCTGTGCCAGGTGTGTTCCCTGCATCTATCCCAGGTGTGTCTCACCTGTCCCAGGTGTTTCCCTCACCTGCCCAGGTGTGCTCACCTGTCCCATCCCCCTCACCTGCCCAGGTGTGCTCACCTGTCCCATCCCCCTCACCTGCCCAGGTGTTCCCTCACCTCCCCAGGTGTTCTCACCTCCCCAGCTGTCCCCTCACCTCCCCAGGTGTTCTCACCTGCCCAGGTGCGCTCACCTGTCCCATCCCCCTCACCTGCCCAGGTGTGTCCCCTCACCTGTCCCAGGTGTCCCTCACCTCCCCAGGTGTCCCTCCTCACCTGCCCAGGTGTCCCCTCACCTGCCCAGGTGTTCTCACCTCCCCAGGTGTTCTCCCTCACCTGCCCAGGTGTGTCCCCTCACCTGCCCAGGTGTGTCCCCTCACCTGCCCAGGTGTCCCCTCACCTGCCCAGGTGTTCTCACCTCCCCAGGTGTTCTCACCTGCCCAGGTGTGTCCCCTCACCTGCCCAGGTGTTCTCACCTCCCCAGGTGTTCTCACCTGCCCAGGTGCGCTCACCTGTCCCATCCCCTTCACCTCCCCAGGTGTCCCTCACCTCCCCAGGTGTTCTCACCTCCCCAGGTGTCCCTCACCTCCCCAGGTGTGTCCCTCACCTGCCCAGGTGCGCTCACCTGTCCCATCCCCCTCACCTGCCCAGGTGCGCTCACCTGTCCCATCCCCCTCACCTGCCCAGGTGCGCTCACCTTCGGGGCTGGTGGTGGAGCCCCAGCCGGAGATCTGGCAGGCGGTGCCGGGCGCGGCGCAGGTGCGCGCCAGCGGCAGCGGCCTCACCTGGCGGCCCAGGTGCGCCGGCACCTGCAGCCGCAGCAGCATCAGGTCGCCGTCCTTGGAGCTCTCGTTGTAGCCGGGGAAGCGGAAGGGCCGCACCTGCCGCCGCTGCTCACCTGGCGCAGGTGAGGCCTCACCTGGCGGCGGCGAGGGGGCGGGGCCGGGCGCCGCCTCACCTGGGCGCACCTGGCGGTGGGAGGGGCGGCCCAGGCGGACGGTGAGGGGGCTGCGGAGAGGGACGGGCGGGACAGGTGAGACACAGGTGGGACACAGGTGAGATTGGACAGGTGGGACAGGTGAGACACAGGTGGGACAGGTGAGACACAGGTGAGATCGGACAGGTGAGATTGGACAGGTGGGACAGGTGAGACACAGGTGGGACAGGTGAGACACAGGTGAGATCGGACAGGTGGGACAGGTGAGACACAGGTGAGATCGGACAGGTGGGACAGGTGAGACACAGGTGACATTGGACAGGTGGGACAGGTGAGACACAGGTGAGATCGGACAGGTGAGATTGGACAGGTGAGACAGGTGAGACACAGGTGGGACAGGTGAGACACAGGTGAGATATGGACAGGTGAGATTGGACAGGTGGGACAGGTGAGACACAGGTGAGATCGGACAGGTGAGACACAGGTGAGACACAGGTGAGATCGGACAGGTGGGACAGGTGAGACACAGGTGAGATATGGACAGGTGAGATTGGACAGGTGAGACACAGGTGGGACAGGTGAGATTGGACAGGTGGGACAGGTGAGACACAGGTGGGACAGGTGAGATTGGACAGGTGGGACAGGTGAGATTGGACAGGTGAGACACAGGTGAGATCGGACAGGTGAGACAGGTGAGACACAGGTGAGACACAGGTGGGACAGGTGAGATTGGACAGGTGAGACACAGGTGGGACAGGTGAGACACAGGTGAGATATGGACAGGTGAGATTGGACAGGTGAGACACAGGTAAGACACAGGTGAGATATGGACAGGTGGGACAGGTGAGATTGGACAGGTGAGATCGGACAGGTGAGATTGGACAGGTGAGATCGGACAGGTGAGATCAGACAGGTGACATTGGACAGGTGAGATCAGACAGGTGAGATTGGACAGGTGAGATCAGACAGGTGAGATCAGACAGGTGACATTGGACAGGTGAGATTGGACAGGTGAGATTGGACAGGTGGGGCAGGTAAAGGACAGGTGAGGGACAGGTGAGATCAGACAGGTGACACACATGACACACATGACACAGGTGGCACAGGACAGGTGGCACAGGTGATGCAGGTGGCACAGGACAGGTGGGGGTGTGCCCAGCTGTGCCCAGGTGAGCCCATCACCTGCCCGGATGAGCCCCTCCCCCTGCCCAGGTGTGCCCAGGTGTCCCCAGGTAACCCCCAGCCATGCCCAGTCATGCCCAGGTGCCCCCAGGTCTGCCCAGGTACCCCCCCAGGTGTCCCCAGGTGCTCTCCCAACCATGCCCAGGTGCCCCCAGGTGTCCCCAGCCATGCCCAGGTGTGCCCAGGTGTGCGGGGCGCCCCGTTACCTGCGCGTACCCGGGGGCGTGGCAGCGCGCGGCCACCCAGACCCACCCAGGTGTGCCCAGGTAACCTCCCAACCATGCCCAGGTGTGCCCAGGTGAGTTCCCCATGCCCAGGTGCCCCCAGGTGTCCCAGGTGCCCCGTTACCTGCGCGTACCCGGGGGCGTGGCAGCGTGCGGCCACCCAGACCCGCCCAGGTGTGCCCAGGTGTGCCCAGGTGTGCCCAGGTGTATCCCAGCCTTGCCCAGGTGTGTCCCAGCCTTGCCCAGGTGTGTCCCAGCCTTGCCCAGGTGTGCCCAGGTGCCCCCAGGTGTGCCCAGGTGTATCCCGGCCATGCCCAGCCATGCCCAGGTGCCCCCAGGTGTGCCCAGGTATCCCCAGGTGTGTCCCAGGTGCCCCAGGTGCCCCGTTACCTGCGTGTACCCGGGGGCGTGGCAGTGCGTGGCCATCCAGACCCGCCCAGGTGTGCCCAGGTGTGCCCAGGTGCCCCAGGTGTATCCCAGCCTTGCCCAGGTGTGTCCCAGGTGCCCCAGGTGTGCCCAGGTGCCCCTAGGTGTGCCCAGGTGTATCCCAGCCATGCCCAGGTGTCCCCAGGTGCCCCCAGCTGTGCCCAGGTGCCCCAGGTGCCCCCGGCTCCCCGTTACCTGTGCGTACCCGGGGGCGTGGCAGTGCGTGGCCACCCAGACCCACCCAGGTGTGCCCAGGTGTGCCCAGGTGTATCCCAGCCATGCCCAGCCATGCCCAGGTGTGTCCCAGGTGCCCCCAAGTGCCCCCAGGTGTGCCCAGGTGTGCC